GAGAAGGGGGTGCGCTTGCGCCCGCGGTGTAACCGTCGGATGGAAGTTGCCGCTCGCGGCCCGCGCGTCCGTGTACACGACGGGCACGTAGGCGTGGCGGGTCCCGCAGGCGCGCCGGCCGCCCGTCAGGGCGCGCGCGAGGCCGGCCCAGGGCTGCGCGCCGTCGTCGTGCAGCGGCTGCGCCTCGCCGTGGTGCAGCGGCAACGTCGGAAAGGCGTGCTGGAGAAACGTCTTCCAGCCGGCGGCGGCGACGAGGGCGTGCAGCGCCTTGGAGGTCTGCGCGAGGCGGGCGACGGGGGCGGCGGTGGCGAGGTGGGCTATGATGTCGAGGAGGATGTCTGTGGGCAGGGCGGCGAGGGACATGGCCGTCTTGGCCGTGTGCTGGCGTGGCGGCTGGGCCCGACGTGGTGATGGTCTTGGTTTGTGGTTGCTGTGTGGTGTCATTGTGCGGTGGTTGCTGTGTGTGGTCATTGTGTGGTGGTTGCTGTGACGCTGGGACGCGCTGCCTGCTTTATTCCTCGTGACCCAGTGCCTGCTCGTGAAGCTGACGACCTTGCGTCTGACTCACAGATGCTGGAGAGTGGGCGATGCAGACTTGGTGAGGCCAAAGATGAGGCCAGACGAGAGGCCAGGCGAGAGGCCAGGCGAAAGAGGCGAGAGGCCAGGCGAAAGAGGCGAGAAGCCAGGCGATGCTCCGTCGCAAGACTCTGACGGAATCCTCTTTTTCTACAACATCGACATGATGGCATCGCGCGAGCAGCATGCCTTTGTTGACTTGGTGTTTTTCATCCCATCATTCGCCAAAGACATGAATCCTATTCGACAGCTACCAGGTCCCAACGCCAAATGATGCACAGCCTTGTACACGAGTCCTGCCCATCCCTTTCCAACTTTCCAAGTCTTGAAGCCCAGCGACCTTCATCGTCCAAACGCCGTACAAACAGTCCTTCAGATCGACACCATCACGGCAGGGAATCCTTCAGATCGATACCATCACGGCAGGCCCCGCTCGTCGGTCCCCCGCGCGCCGTACAGCATGGCCATGAGCTTGCCCTC